TTGAAATTCAAATATATAAGAATGTCCTGTATTTTATTTGACAACTCTATCTATAGGGAAAGACAACTCTATCTATGGCTTTGGGTTCTGGCCAGTGAACTCACAATCTAATTAAAATAAACTACTGCTATTTGTGGTTGTGCCTCTTTGCTTCATGAATCCTAGGACCTTCCCCCCCTGCCCCGCTTAAACAGAATAATTCAGGTTGATCTGTTCATCTTCTGGTGTGGCCAAGAATTCCAAGCAACAACTCTTGTGGGAAGCAAAGTATGCGTATTCTTTTACACATTTTTCCCTTGTCCTATTTTGGTTGCTATTCCGCATGTGAATGTTGCCTAACTGTCCTGCAGCAGCCTCTTTTTCAAGGTAAATTTACCACTTGCCATTGGCACATTACCTTCATTCTACGATATACTATAGATGAACTTGGAGAATTAATTAACATACCCATAGTTGGTCCACGTCCAAGATGAAAATGGTCCCCAAAAATGTAGAGAACTCTATACTGGGATTAACAAAACCATCATATTATTCATGTCATTTTCCAAAAGCTAAAATTAAGTACAAGCTTTTTAATATGGGAGGAACTACCTCTGAATCATACATTTTAAACACTTAATATTCTTTATTTTCTTTCACTGCTTGGTGGTCTCAGATCTTACTAAAGATAAAATCATGTGGGAAGTTAAAAAAGTAATAATGCTGTAGTCCACCACTACTGACTGATTTGGAATTTTTGGGTGGCGCCCAGGCATGTGTATTTTTTAAAAGTTCTTCAGGTGAAGCAGATGCACAGTGAAGATTGAGGCCCCTGTCAACTTGTATTTCTCTCCGTTTCCTGTCTAATTCCTGCCTAATACTTAAACTGGGATATCACTTACTTCATTATCGTTACTTAAAAAACACTATCCATTTCACAATATTTCTAAGAAAGCTAATTTCCCACCTACAGATTAGAAGTCACTTTTCATTATTCTGTGTTGTCTCAGACTTTTCCTGATATTTTCTATATTATCTCTTGTCACATTTTAGCACACATAGTGGTTGTATCCCTATAGTGTATGTGTATGTCCTGCTTTATTATAAGGTTCTTGTGGTCAAGTGTCATATCCTGTTCAACTGTGAAATAGCAAATGCAGTAAGATATCTGACACTTGGAATGGATCTTTTTCTGTAACATCTTCTTCCTCTATAAGACAACATTATTTTTGGTGATAATCATGATAGGGAATAAACAATAATTCATTTATAGAACATTATTCTGTTTCTAATATTGTAGGATAAATAGAAATGCAGACAATGAGAATTTTCTTTTGTTGAACTTCATAGTTAGAGTCATGTCAGTAAAAAAACATAAAAATTGTTTAAAAATTACAGTACAGAAAAAAAGGAATGAATTAATGTCTTATTATTTTTCTTTTTGGAAAAAGGGACTAAAAAACACATGAAGGAATGAGCTAAATGAGTGAACACGCAATTCAGAGAATAATTTGCATATGGAATGACACAACTGAAGTAACTCAAGTTTTATTTCTTTGTCTTTAAAACCACTATGCCATCATTCTTTATTTTGAATCTACTGTTTTAACAAGCAGGACTTCTTTGTAGCACCATGTGGGTCAGAGGTACAACTGAACCTGAAACAACTGCAAACAGTTCCAAACCCTTTGAACTAATTCTCCGAATGAATGCATGTAGCTGAGTTTACTGTCAGGGGCCAAGTGCATAACTGGAAGTTCTCTGAATTAACTTCATGTAGAAGACAATATTTACTAAAGGATAAATAATAAAAGTATGTTAAGGTGAAGCTTATATACATTAGTAAAACTCAATAGTAATCAAATCACTCTTTAGAACTTAAATCAGAAGGAGTTTTTATAGGGAAGAATATTTTATCACTAACATTATTTAGAATTTTTGGCAAAGGGCAATAAAAAAGCTGATTTTTCTTCAGTTGGTTTTATTATTATTTTACCATTCTCTACAGACAATGCACCCTTTTATTACCTGTACCTGGGGTGGACGGCTCCCAATGCCTGCCCTTGGCTCTCTACCAATTTGAAGTGTTTCGCTAAGTGTTATGCACAAGTAGATTCACAATAAACATTTGTGTTAACTTGCATGGTTTTTATTTTATAGTTTATATCCCTCAAGGGGCATAGTATCCAGATTTTTGAGTGACAGGCTATCTTCTTGATTTTGTTTTTCCTCTTTGACTTCAGCCCATTATTAGCCCACTCTATTGCCCAAACTGAGAATGACTGGTGATGGTGTTTATTAGGTCATTCATACATAATCATTGCCATCAAGTTGATTTCAACTCATAGCGACCCTATCAGGACAGAGTAGAGCCCCATAGGGTTTCCAAAGCTGTAATCTTTACAGAAGACTGCCACATCTTTCTCTCACAGAGCAGCTGGTGGGTTCCAACCATCAACCTTTTGGTTAGCAGCCAAGCATTTAACCACTGTGCCACCAGGGCTCCTTGGATTCATGCATAGCACTCATTAAAGCCTCTTCTCTAATGTGACCTCTTTAATGAAATTCACTGTGATTAGTCTCCCTCTTTCTTTACAGTACATGAGTACATCCTTCATTCACCAATGATTTTATCTTTTTTCTCTAAATTTTATTTATTTTATTCTTGTTGTTGAGACTATACACAACAAAACATACACAAATTCAACAGTTTCTACATGTGCAATTTAGTGACACTAACTACATTTTTTAAGTTGTGCAACCATTCTCACCCTCCTTCTCTGAGTTGTTCTTCCCTCATTAACGTAAACTCATTGCCCCTTAAGGTTCCTATCCAATCTTTCGAGTTGCTATTGTCAATTTGATCCCAAATAAATAGTTCTTAAAAGAGCATAATGCTCAAGGTAGACCTTTTTTACTAGTTAAGCTAAACTATTGTTCGGTTTTAAGAAGACCACGGGGGATATTTTTGGTTTAAGGTTTAAAGATTATCTCAGGCAATAAGTTCAGGGGTTCATCTACCCTCCATGGCTCCAGAAAATCTGGAGTCTATGAGAATTTGAAATTCTGTTCTGCATTTCCCCCTTTTTGGTTAGAATTCTGCTATGGAATCTTTGATCAAAATGTTCAGTAATGGTAGCTGGGCACCATCCAGTTCTTCTGGTCACATAGCAAAGGAGGCAGTTGTTCATGGAGGCAATTAGCCACAAATTCCATATCCTCTTCTTATTCCTGACTCTCCTTCTTCCTTTGTTGCTCCAGGTGAAAAGAAACCAATTGTTGTGCCTTGCATGATCACTTGCAAGCTTTTAAGACCCTGGGCACTATGCAACAAACTTGAAAATAGAACAGAAGCACTAAACATGCTATTAGGCCAATTAACTGGGATGTCCCATGAAACCATGACCCCAAACCTCCAAATCAAGGAACCAAATTCCATGAGGTGTTTGGTTGTACATAAGCAACCTCAGCAGCTACTCTTTTTTTTTCTGTCATTGTTGTAAACATATCTATCACACAACTTTTGCCCGTTCAACTTTTTACAAGTGTACAACTTACTGATGGCAATTACAGTAATCGGCTATGCAATCCTACCCTTAATCAATGCAATTTCCCCATCACCGTTAACCCCCTTTTCCGTCTCCCTCCCTCCCCTGCTAACCACTAATAAACTTTGGTCTCTGTACATTTGCCTTTTCTTGTCTTTTTATATAAGTGAGGTCATACAATATTTGTTCTTTCATGATTGGCTTATTTCATTCAGCATGATATCTTCAAGCTCCATCCATACTGCAGCATGTATCAAGACTTCATTTCTTCTACTGGCTGAGTAGTGTCCCATTGTATGTATGTACTATGTTTTGTTTATCCATTCATCTGCTGATAGGCAGTTAGGGTGTTTCTACCTTTTGGCTATCGAGAATAGTGCTGCAATGTACATTGGTGTACAAGTCTTTGTTTGAGTCTCAGCTTTCAAGTCTTTTAGGTATATACCTAGGAGTGGAATTGCTGGGTCATACGGTAGTTCCATTTTTAGTTTTTTGGAGGAACTGTCACACTGTTTTCCACAATGGCTGTACCATTTTGCATTCCCACCATCAATGGATAAGGGTTCCAATCTCCCCACATCCTCACCAACATTTGTTATTGTCTGTTTTTTTATCTTAGCCATCCTACTGGTTGTGAAATGGTATCTCATTGTGGTTTAGATTTGCATCTCTCTGATGGCTAATAATGCTGAGCATCTTTTCATGTGTCTGGTGGCCATGTGAATGTCCTCTTTGGTGAAATGTCTATTCAAGTCCTTTGTCCATTTTATGATTATTTGTCTTTCTGTTAAGTTGTCAAAGTTTTATATATATTTTGGTTATTAGATTCTTATCAGATTTATGGTTTCTGAAGATATTTTCTAAGTCAATAGCTTGTCTTTTCACTTTTTGGTGATGTCTTTTGATGATCAAAAGTTTTTAATTTTTATGAGGTCCTATTTATTTATTTTGTCCAGTTCTGTTTGTGCTTTTGTTATTATATTAGATAATCCATTGTTAAAAGCTAGGACTGACAGTGTTGCCCCTGCATTTTCTTCTAAGAATTTTATGGTTTTAGTTTCCACATTTACATCCTTAATCCAATTTGAATTTGTTTTTGTGTATGGTGTGAGGCATAGGTCCTGTTTGATTTTTATGCATGTGGAAATCCAATTTTCCCAATCCAATTGAATGGACTTAGCACTCCTGTCAAAAATCAGTTGACCATAAATGTGTGCTTTTTGATGTTCCTTTTATTATTGATTTATATGTGGCTATATGCCTTTAAAGTTTTTATGTTCTATATCTCCACATATATAATAAGTTAGGAAATATTATTATATACAGGGTGATCATGTGATTTATTATTCAAATCAGACACTTCTAAGAGTGAATGAGGAACTATTAATAATTATATAGAACAAGAGACATAAACTAGGACTGCCCTGGGCAAACCTGAATGTACGTTTGCCCTAGTTATACACCTCTGTGACATCAAGAGCATCTACTAGATTGTAATACACAAATAGGAGTGTTAGTTCTGACCGATTTTCCCTGACTCAAGCTGAGAAGATTCCACTCTTCATTAGTACTTAGCCTTAGTTCATCATATCATGTTGTTACCGCCAAGTGCTTCATAATCTCTTAAACTACATTGCCAAAAGTTGTTATTTTCTACTAAAATGCAGTAATAATTTACTATTAGACAGGCAATTTACTCCAAGAGAAAGTAATTTGCAGTGAGTGTGAAAATAAGCCAGTTTACTGTTGTACAGTCACTTGGTTAAAAGACAAGGTAATGCTGCTCTGCTCATAAACGTCCTAGTAAAAGTTGAATGTGACTTAGTTGCTTGGTGTAACAATAAGACAAGCTTTGTTCCTCAACAGGGTGTTCTCATAAAGTTAGTTGTGCCTGGGGCCCAACTGTAAAGTGAGGGAAAGAAAAAGCCAGCAAGTTTAGGTCTAATCAGCAGTGACATTAGGCAATGTAAATGGTGAGCTATTTTCTATCTTGAAGTAGTTGTGTGCTTTAATCCACGTTTAATCACAAGATTAGGAAACAACCCAATAGAATAATTTCTGCCATAAAATCCAAGAATCGATGCTTTTCAATTAAACCAGGGCAAAAATAGACCTTTCGTATTCGACCAGTACTTCATGATATGTTTTTCATTTGTGTATGTTTAAATTAGATGAAAAGTTTTAGAAAAATTTAGAAGGAAGATAGCATAAATTTCACCTATTTAACTTAAGATACTATATTAAAAAAATGGGTATTCAGAATGTAAAATTCTTTTTAAGTCTGAGGAACTTGTTCTATTTATTCTGGAATGTTGCATACATACTATCTGTTATCAAATCGATTCAGAGACTGAAATAAAAAAAAATAATTATAACCCTGAAAAGGGGGGGGAAATACATAGTATTAGTATAAAAACTACGGAGTATGTGATGTAGAAAATCAATTGTAGAGGTAGTCAACAGATGCACTTGCTGATTTATAACTATGTTTTCATACGTTATAATCACTCCTCACTTAAAACCTCTAGTAATGCTCATTATTGTCCTTTATAAAGATTCACGTAATTTCCACAAAAGCTGAGAGTGTAATACATTCATCA